TAGATAGTGACCCACCAAGAGCAAACCTAAGATGCTGCATTAACCGAAAAATCACAGTGCAGCAGCGTGTGTGTTTGTGTATCCATCTAGCTCTGTCTCTGTTCTTGTGAGCAGGCATGCTTTTGACACTGAAACACTCTGGCCGCTTACAAGAAGGGAGCGAATAGACAAAGAAGACGACTGGCACCCAGTCAAGGTTTTTCAATACCGGTAACTTAAACAGTAACTCGTGGCCCTCAGGGACAGAGTACAAATTCTTTAGACCCGGGTGGCTGATCTGGAGGAGCTAACGGAGAAAGAGAGGTACACAGACCAAGACTGACTAAAGCGGTCCCACCCCCTATCTGACAGATTCTGTGGTGTTGATGAGAAAACAATCCCATAGTTGGGACCCTCTTTCCAGATGATGTCATGGTATCCTCTTGCACTGAGGACACATTGACAGATGGGTGCAGTGTGGGGGAGAAACTGGTTGATGTGGTACATGAAGGTACTAATGATGTAGGGAAACATAGGAGAGATGTCCTAGAGACCAAATTAGGCTGCTAGAAAAGAGATTACTGTCCAGGACCTCCATGGTGGCAGTCTCTGAAATGCTTCTAATTCCATGCACAGGGCCAGTTAACTAGTTAAGATAGGAAACAAAAGGTAGGGGAAAATGGTCAGTTTCACAGTGGAGAGAGGTAAGTTTCTGGGTCACCCAAAGATCTGTACTAGGACCAGTGCTGTTCAACATATTCATAAGTGATCTGGAAATGGGGTAAACAGTGAGGTGGCAAACTTTGTAGAAGATACAAAATTACTCAAGATAGTTAAGTCCAAAGCAGATTGTGAAGAATTACAAAGGGATCTCACAAAAGTGCATGACACTGCAACAAAATGGTAGATGAAATTCAATATTGCTAAGTGCAAAGTAAAGCATATTGGAAAACATAAGACCCACCTATATTTACAAAATGACGGCATCTAAATTAGCTGTTACCTCTCAAGAAAGAGAACTTGGAATCATGCTGGATAGTTCTCCAAAAACATCTGGTCAATGTGCAGTGGCAGTCAAAAAAAAAAAAAAAAAAAAAAAAAAGCTAACCATGTTAGGAACCATTAGGAAAGGGATAGACAATAAGACAGAAAATACCATGTTGCCTCTCTATAAATCCATGGTATGCCCACACCTTGAATACTGTGTACAGTTCTGGTTGTCCCATCTCAAAAAAGATATTAGGACTGGGAAAAGCACAGAGAAGGGCAACAAAAACTGAGGGGTACGGAACAGCTTCATCTGAGGAGAGATTAAAGACTGAGACTGTTCAGCATGGAAAAGAGACGACTAAGGGGAGATATGATAGAGGTCTATACAATCATGACTGGTGAGGAGAAAGTAAATAAGGAAGTGCTATTTACCACTTCACATAACACATGAACCAGGGGTCATCCAATGTAATTAATAGGCAGCAGGTTTAAAATGAACAAAAGGAAGAACTTCTTCACACAGTGCAGTCAACCTGGGGATGTTGTGAAGCTCAAAAGTATAATTGGGTTCAAAAAAGAATTAGATAAATTCATAGAGGTTAGGCCCATCAATGGTTATTTGCGAAGATAGTCAGGGACACAACACCATGCTCTGGGTGTCTCTAAACCTCTTGACTGTTAGAAGCTGGGAGTGGATGACGGGATGGATCACTTGATAAATATCCCTGTTCTTTTCACTGCTGCTGAAGCATCCAACACTGCCACTGTCGGAAGACAGGATACTGGGCCAGATAGACCATTGGTCTGATCCAGTATGGCTGTTCTTATGTAAAATAATCAAAGCTTTCCACATCCCACCCCCCACTCTGTCACCTTCATGTCTTGTTCCTTCTCTTCTTTTTCTCGAATAACTGATCCTTTTGGCAGGAATGCTATTTTGAAGTGCTAAGAGACAAGGTGTGTAAGAGCTTTTATTGGACCAACTTCTGTTGGTGAAAGAGTCATGTTTAGGCAGAGGTCTTTTTTAGGTCTGGGAAAGGTCTATTTTGAAGTGCTGGCAGTTGAAACAAGCATCATTTTTCAAGTAAGTAAATTTGGGGCCAAATTCTGCTTAGTTTCCTGTGGTGTCAGACGGTTTCACAGGTGTAATTGAGGGCATAATTTGGCCTTTGAGATGCTAACCATCAAAAGAGGCTAAATATGGAACCCCAGAATACTATTTGTATGGATGCTTTGGGACTATAACCATACTTTAATGGCTTTCAAATTAGAAGATAAAAAGCAAATTATCTAAAATACAATACAATCTTCAGAGACGAGTTTAGCGACTAGTGCATACACACAGCTCTGACTGACAATCACACAGTTGGTTCTGTTTCCAGTCATTCACTATGAGGCAGATTCTTCTCTCCCACAGGACTCAGATTTATTATTCAGTTCATTCTTTTGTGTTCCAGCAGAAGATGGGGCTTTTCTGAGGGGAACAAAATATAATCCTATTTTACAAGGCTGATTGCACACTGCCATCAAGTGATGAATTCCTATTCTGGAATCTGTATATTGATGAATGTTACCATATTGTCAGGATTCTGAATATTTGCTGTAATTGTGGTCTTTTAATACGAAGCTACTAAAACAAACATCTTCTCTAGTCACTTAAGCCATATTTCACCTCCCATGTCTAACTTTTGATGCTGGTGCTTTTACTTCTCTTTCTACCAAACTGTTCAAAATTACTCTGCCAGTGAGGTCAATAAAACCAGATATGCCTTCCACTGATACCATAAGGAAGGCAAAGGCACAGACTGTTCTGTTGTTTTTTAAAAGAAGGAAATTTCACAGTCAGAGTTAGAATATACTGATGCTTTTCAATCTTTGCAACAATCAACTGAAAGAGGAGCAAAAAAAAAACTGCTAGGAGCGCAGCATTTTCAAGGTGCAAACTAATTCCACAGCCTTAATTTCAGTGTCCTGCTGGTCTGCCTTAAGTGTATGTTCTATTACAAATTTCATTTTGTATACACACAATGTGGTTTTGTAAAGGTAAGTTTGTAAATAGCTTATTTGAAAGTCCAATCACTCGTGTAACGTAAAGTGATTAGCTGCTGTCACGTGTTAATATTACTATGCTACAGTACGTTATCTACAGAAGCTTCAAAATGTACATCTTCTTTCATTGTGTTCCTATAAATACAGTATATTAAAGATGCAGTTTCTGGGTTTTTTGAGTAAAGACAATTGTTCAGAGAAAATGAGTCAGTTTTATTTTACAAACTCTGGATTCTGTACAGCCTTAAGACACTAAAACACATCAGCTACTTTACTTAATACACCCTTTCTGACTGGATGTCCAAAGGGAACTTAAACATTGAAGGTATCACCTAAAAATGTTTTAGGTCTTACATACAGCTGAGCAAACAATAATTGCTTTTGTAGTTCAGTAGTCAAATTGGAAAATCCCCCAAAAAGTTCATTTTGGATCAACCCAACAAAGAACTAGGAGCGGTGGTTCTTGCTGAAATGAAAAAACAAAAACTGAAAATCAAGTTGGGTCAAACATGTTTTGAGGCAAAATAATTTGGCGGCGTTGGGGGTATTTTACCTTTTTAAAATAAATCTAGCCACGTTTCATGAAGGAAACATTTAAAAATCAAAAGTTTTTTTTAATATGTTGAAATGACATGTTTTGACTTTTTTTTTTCAGCTGAAACTATTTGCAAATTCTACCCCTATAGTTTTATTCGATCCAAAACTGCATTTTTCAGCAAGTAAATGATTCGTCCTAACGTTTCACCCAGCTCTTGCCTAGTGTATGTAAAATACAGGATGGAACTGCTTTTTCTTTATTCACTATCAGGTTCAGCAGGGGGCGCGGATCTCTGGACGTGACTGTTTGAAGCTGCGCTGCTCTTCAAGCATGCTCTCCCCATCCAGTCAAAGACTAAGCACCACTTGGAAACATCCCATCGCTCTCCCTGCAGATACCAAGAGGAGGCTCTCTGCCAAGGCAACAAGAGGCCATCACACCCCCAGGCTAGCCCCCTTGCCAGCCCCAAGAAAGGCTCCTGTCAGCCACGGTGTTGTCAACACTTTAGATTTTATCATGTCTCGTGGCATTTGGGGTGTTTCTTAAAGCCCCTGCTCCTGGAGTCAGGTGATTGTGGGGAACCTCTGCTTTTAGTCAAAGAAACAACATGCCCTTCTAGGGGCAGAGAAAAGCTGGAGGGGGTGACCCCTGCCCCAAACGCCTGGAGAGAGGAGCCCCCAGCCCTCCGCTTTCCGTTTACAGCTAAGGGCCGGGTATTTTTTGAGCCCCGAGGCAGGATCCAGGGAGGCGACGGCGGGTGACAGCGACCATTGCCCGATGAGCCACGTGCGGCCGGGTCACCCACCCACCCACCGCCATGGGCCCCCGTCTCCGGGGGGCTGAACGGGGAGCCCCCGATACCCCTAAGCCCATGCGAGCGGCCGGCGACGGAGGCCGGGATGAAGATCTTCGTCACGCTCCACCCACTCCCGCCAAGCGGGACAGGTCCTGGCGGGAAGCCGGACTGCCCGGCCCCGAATCAGCCCGTCGGCTGACACAGCGCATGCGCACACAGCGGCGGTGCCAGCCAAGGGAGGTGACAGGGCCCCTTCTTTTGCCAGCCGCGAGCCCCGGGGCTCGCTCGTTGTGACGTCATCATTGGGCGCCGGCCGGGAGAGGTGGATGACGCGCGGGGCGCGCGGGCCGGCTTTCCTCTGAGGGAGCATGGTGGAGGCGGGCTCCCTGGAGCGGCTGGTGTCCGGGCTGCACCGGGCCCAGGCCCTGCGCTTCGGCGACTTCGTGCTTAAGAGCGGCCTCGCCTCCCCCGTCTACGTCGACCTACGGGTCATCGTCTCCCACCCGCCCCTCCTCAACCAGGTACATGGCCGGGGGGGGGCCTCCTGCTGCTGCTGGGTGGGGGGCGGCGGCCCGCGGGCTCTACTGCTGCGGGGAGTGGCCCCTGTTGCGGCGGGGGCGGGGGGGTCCGGTCCTGTCCGGTCTGCGGGCCCTGCTCTACTTTTGAGCAGAGCAGCCTGGAGACCGTAGCCTGGGCATATCTGGGACAGTGCTGCGCCCGTGACCCCTTCCGTCCCGGTTCCTTGACCGGCTGGTCCGCGAGCGCGCGGTGGTCGCTCGCCGCCGATCCGCACGTGACCTGGCTCTGCGCGCGCCCTCAGGCTCGGTTGTGGCGGCGCGGCGCGGCGCGGTTTAAGCGCGGCCGTCCCCCTGGCGAGGAGGCGCTCGCCGCACCAGGATGCGCTGCTGGGGCGCTTTACAGGCAGAAGTCAAAGCAAATTTATTCGTGTTGGGGTATGGAAAAATCGCTTCTCTTTCACGTCTTTTATCCAGACGGCTGCAGAGGGCAGAGAGCTTTATGCTGAAATGAAGCAGGAACAAGACCTGCTGGTTTCTGTACATAAGTATTTATTGCAGCTTGTAGCTCTCCTCTTCGGCCTCCTGACCTTGGGATAGGCCAGTGGCTCGCTTGGTTTATAATCCTCCTTTCATCCTCTGGCTGGAGTGCGGTAAATATTGATGAATATCTGACCTTTCGCTAACCAGGAATTTAAGTTAGTTGTCTGTTTTGAATAACTGAGGCTTTCCTTTATTAAAAAAAAAATATGTAGTACTCATGGTGGCAAGACTGGAAAACATTTTCTTTCTCTCTTTGTGTGTATAAAAACAGTACTGCAAGCATGGATCTGTAATATGGAATAAACAATATCTTTCAATTTTTTTTCTTTTTTTTTTTTTTTTGGCCACTGTGCTAGCACTACCATTTTGGAACTAATGTAATCTGTTGAAATGGTCTATTATACATACCCAGTCCCCCAGCCCGTACAGAATACAGCCCCACATTCCACTTTTTATTTTTAGGTAGTATCCTTAATGGTGATTGTCAGTAGTTCACAGTGAGAAAAAGAAGGTGAGAGTAAATTTAAAAGAAGAGATGACTTGTTGGCTAAAGGAATGGTGACAATGCAAAAAAAAAAAAAATCCAGTGGAGAGCATGTTTTGTGTGGTTTCAGAGTAACAGCCGTGTTAGTCTGTATTCGCAAAAAGAAAAGGAGTACTTGTGGCACCTTAGAGACTAACCAATGTATTTGAGCATGAGCTTTCGTGAGCTATAGCTCACTTCATCGGATGCATACCGTGGAAACTGCAGCAGACTTTATATATACACAGAGAATATGAAACAATACCTCCTCCCACCCCACTGTCCTGCTGGTAGTAGCTTATCTAAAGTGATCATCAGGTGGGCCATTTCCAGCACAAATCCAGGTTTTCTCACCCTCCACCCCCCCACACACAAATTCACTCTCCTGCTGGTGATAGCCCATCCAAAGTGACAACTCTTTACATAATCAAGTCGGGCTATTTCCTGCACAAATCCAGGTTTTCTCACATCCCCCCCACCCCCATACACACACAAACTGTATGGGGGTGGGGGGGATGTGAGAAAACCTGGATTTGTGCAGGAAATAGCCCGACTTGATTATGTAAAGAGTTGTCACTTTGGATGGGCTAGCACCAGCAGGAGAGTGAATTTGTGTGTGGGGGGGTGGAGGGTGAGAGAACCTGGATTTGTGCTGGAAATGGCCCACCTGATGATCACTTTAGATAAGCTACTACCAGCAGGACAGTGGGGTGGGAGGAGGTATTGTTTCATATTCTCTGTGTATATATAAAGTCTGCTGCAGTTTCCACGGTATGCATCCGATGAAGTGAGCTGTAGCTCACGAAAGCTCATGCTCAAATACATTGGTTAGTCTCTAAGGTGCCACAAGTACTCCTTTTCTCTTTTCATGTTTTGTGTGACTCCTTGAATAACTGGTCGCTGACCACTAATTCCATGAATGAAGTTACCAGACATTTTTCTTATCTAATCCTTCCCCCAAAGAGTTTAATCTTAATCTATTTTGATAGCACCCAAAATGTGTTAGGAGCTATCAGAGTACAAATAGTACTGGCAGAATATTGCTTACAAACTTCTGAGGAAGTAGCTTCTGACCATACACCAATCAGTCAGGAATATCTGAAATTGCTTCTATGGGTGATATATGCTTGTAGTTTAATTTAGTACTGCTTAAAAATATGATGTATTTTTAGATTGCAGATCTCCTGTTCCAAACAGCAAAAAATGCAAGGATCAGGTATGACTCAGTGTGTGGTGTTCCATACACAGCATTGCCTTTGGCTACAATTATCTGCTCGTCCAACCAGATCCCAATGCTTATACGGAGGAAGGAAGCAAAAGACTATGGTAAAATGATTCAAGTTAATTAAAGTTAAATTGTCTTTTCTGGTTGAAAGATTTGCTTGTGAAAGTACTTTAAATAGTTTTTATGACTTGCATTCCTTGTGTTCCAATGGAAGACCATCTCTCCAATTGAAAGGAAAAAGATTCCCACTCTCTTGCCCCCCAAAATGTGTAACACTGTCTCTGAAAACTGTCTCATCAGTACACTCATTGCTCCTGGTTCTCCTAGAGCAAGTGCCTTTTGTTGCATCCCCCTAACAGGTGCTGCATGAGCTTGTGCCCTTTTACTGGTTATGAGGAAAGGTGCCAGGGACTCAGTAGTCTCCATAATCTCTGCAGTGGGGTGTTAAACTGTTTCTTGTTGAGTGTAGAACTAGGATATTGGTAAATATATTAAACAGCATGTCTCAGTGGTGGAGATAATTTTCATGCCATTGCAAATAGCTACAGAAGAGATTAATTTTATGGGTTTAGTACTGGTTTCATTCACAATAATTTGCTCTTCTATAGTGCCTTTCACCCAAGGAATAGTAGAATGTGTGTGCTGGTGCCTGTAAGAGCAAATAAATCATAAAGATCTCAAGTTGTTTTGCAAATACGAATAAACCTCACAACTTCCTGGGGTATAAAGGAGTATTTTATCTACTCAGGAAGGTCAAGTCACTTTTATGTTAATTTTTTTAAACCGGTAATTCAGTGGATTGTGCCTTTATTGATTTAAAGGTACCAAACGTCTGGTGGAAGGCATCATTAATCCAGGAGAAACCTGTTTGATCATTGAGGATGTGGTCACAAGTGGATCTAGTATCTTGGAAACTGTAGAGGTTCTTCAGAAAGAAGGATTAAAAATCACTGATGCCATAGTGCTGCTGGATAGAGAGCAGGGAGGAAAGCAACGGTTAGAAGAACAAGGGATTTGCCTACATTCTGTGTGCACCTTGTCCACGATGCTAGAGATTCTCCAGCAGCAGCAAAAAGTTGACTCTGAGATGGTTGAAAAGGTGAAGAAATTCATTCTGGAGAATGTCTTCAAACCAGCAGAGCAAAATGATGCTGCTCCCATCAAACAAATGTGCAAAGAAATGAGCTTTAGCACTCGTGCTCAGCTACCTGGAATCCATCCTGTTGCAGCGCGACTTCTCAAGCTCATGGAGAAGAAACAAACTAACTTATGCCTCTCTGCTGATGTCACGGACTCCAAAGAACTTCTACAGCTGGCTGCCACTCTAGGCCCCAGCATTTGTATCTTAAAGACTCACATAGATATCCTGAATGATTTCACCCAAGAGGTAATAAAGGAGTTGCGAGCACTTGCAGACCAACATGAGTACCTGATATTCGAAGACCGCAAGTTTGCAGACATTGGAAACACTGTGAAACATCAGTATCAAGGTGATTATTTGCAACCTTAGTTTATTGTGACTTTTCTGCCAATACCTTTGCCTGCTAAATATAATGTGATTCCCTTTAGTGCAAAGATATGATGAGGATGACACCTATATTGATTTTTAAAATACCATTTACTTGTGCATGCTTGACTTTTTGTCTGAACCTGTTCATTTAAGCTATGACAGTATCTGTGTAGAGCCTTCATCACCTGAATCTGTTTTGTTCTGTTTGTTTTTCTTTCTCATTATTTTGTTGCATGTTGCCCTAAAAGGTAATACTAGTGATAGTAGGCTCTAGGTGTTGATAAACACCTCTCCAAACAATGAAGACAAAACCTTACCGGTTTTGTGAAAAATATGATTTAGAGACAGTGGCCGGTTGTGTTTAGCCAGTTTACAGGTTGTTCAATCAGATTGTACATGCAGCCGCCGGAAACTGCAGTGGTTAAAACCTCTTAAAAATGTGCACTGCTTAGTGTGCTCTGTCTTCGTTAAAACACATTTCCTGCTTGAGGATAAACTCAGAGTGGTACTTAACTGAAAATATGTGCTTCTCTGTTCCTTTCTTCTCAGGTGGTGTATTCAAAATAGCTTCCTGGGCAGATATAGTTAATGCCCATGTGGTTCCAGGCTCTGGAGTTGTGAAAGGGCTGAAAGAAGTAGGGCTTCCTTCACAGCGAGGCTGTCTTTTGATTGCTGAGATGAGTTCTCAAGGGTCACTTGCCACTGGTGACTACACAAAATCTGCAGTAAGTTGGAATTTCTGTTTTGCTTGGAAGACTTCCAGATTGCTTTGGCAATGGAGATTGGTTGCGTGCACTTCATAACATTATAGCCTGCATTTACAAACAGCTTTTCAAGTACAGCTACAAGTTACCAGACTTCTCTGCAGTGCTTTAAAGACAATAAACTTGTAGACTTTCAAATCTTAAGAGGTTGCCCACAGCTTCCATGTGGTATCACCAGTCTGTTACTGACTTGTTTTGAACTATCATGGTGACCACTGCAAAAGTGTGTTTGCTCTTTACTACTTTCCTTAGCAATCACATCCTGTTAGCTTTTGTTTTACATTCCCTGTTTAATGTCCAGTCTTCTGTTATACATCTTCTAGTTACATCTAGGTTCTAATAAGGAGCTGTCAATTCTGCATGCTGTGTTTATTTCTTAAGTAGTGAGGTTTTGACATGGATTGAAACACTGCAAAAAGCTGATTTCTCTCTGGCATCTTGCACTGTCAGACAAAAACATGAAGCATGCAGGTGGCAGAGCATGAGACGATTGGTCAGGTTTAGTTTTAAGCATGGGAATTTGTAAACTTTGTTCTTTGGTTTTTGTTATATTTAGGTACAAATGGCTGAAGAAAACTCAGATTTTGTTTTTGGATTCATTTCTGGTTCCAGAGTTAGTAACAAACCAGAATTTCTTCACTTGACTCCGGGGGTCCAGATGCAAGCTGGAGGTAAAAACACCTCTGGGGAGGTAGAATTTGCAATTAAATTTCTCACGGTCATTTCAGAAGTGACTTTTAAATTATAGAATGTTTATAGTGTAACTTTTTTGCAGCTGTCTCTAATGTAACTGTCTATTTTGAAGGGGGAAAAACTGGTTGTTATCCCATGAAAATAGTATTGTGCATATGCAGTGCATCTTATTTAATAGGTGTGGATACTTGGATACAAGTATGAGAGCGTATGTGCCTAGAAACAACAGCCCTCAATCCTCAATACTTTCTCCTGCAGATCTCTGGAACTTTCGGAAGGAGAAAAGTAGGCTAGGCAGCCTTTTTGCTAGGCTTCTTGCTACCTCAAGTTTTGCGTGCAATGGAGTGCGCGGCTCCTGAGTACATGACAGACGTGTTAAATGTGCTATCATTAGACTGCAAATTCAAATGTGTAAGTGAACACAGTCAAAAAGCATAACTAAATGCAAACAATGTAAAATCCTAACCATAACATATTAACATTTTTATTTCATAGAATCATCATAGAATATCAGGGTTGGAAGGGACCTCAGGAGGTCATCTAGTCCAACCCCCTGCTCAAAGCAGGACCAATTCCCAACTGAATCATCCCAGCCAGGGCTTTGTCAAGCCTGACTTTAAAAACTTCTAAGGAAGGAGATTCCACCACCTCCCTAGGTAACATTTTCCAGTGCTTCACCACCCTCCTAGTGAAAAAGTTTTTCCTAATATCCAACCTAAACGTTCCCCACTGCAACTTGAGACCATTACTCCTTGTTCTGTCATCTACTACCACTGAGAACAGTCTAGAGCCATCCTCTTTGGAACCCCCCTTCAGGTAGTTGAAAGCAGCTATCAAATCCCCCCTCGTTCTTCTCTCCTGCAGACTAAACAATCCCAGTTCCCTCAGCCTCTCCTCATAAGTCATGTGCCCCAATACCCCTAATCATTTTTGTTGCCCTCCACTGGACGTTTTCCAATTTTTCCACATCCTTCTTGTAGTGTGGGGCCCAAAACTGGACACAGTACTCTAGATGAGGCCTCACCAGTGTCGAATAGAGGGGAACGATCACGTCTCTCGATCTGCTGGCAATACCCCTACTTATACAGCCCAAAATGCCATTGGCCTTCTTGGCAACAAGGGCACACTGTTGACTCATATCCAGCTTCTTGTCCACTGTAACCCCTAAGTCCTTTTCTGCAGAACTGCTGCCTAGCCATTCGGTTCCTAGTCTGTAGCGGTGCATGGGATTCTTCCATCCTAAGTGCAGGAGTCTGCACTTGTCCTTGTTGAACCTCATCAGATTTCTTTTGGCCCAATCCTCTAATTTGTCTAGGTCCCTCTGTATCCTATCCCTACCCTCCAGCATATCTACCTCTCCTCCCAGTTTAGTGTCAACTGCAAACTTGCTGAGGGTGCAATCCACATCATCCTCCAGATCGTTAATGAAGATATTGAACAAAACCAGCCCCAGGACCGACCCTTGGGGCACTCCACTTGATACCAGCTGCCAAGTAGACATGGAGACATTGATCACTACCCCTTGAGCCCGATGATCTAGCCAGCTTTCTATCCACCTTTATTTAATAGAATTGAATACAAAAGAATCAGAAGTCTTCTGTTGAGTAAGTTATGCATTTCCCAAAACTGTTTCAGTGAGATGTTTTCCTTTTATCAGTAGCTGCTTCATGTAATCAAAAGCAAAATCACGTATCTTCATTTGAATGCAGAAAATTCTGTTTAGTTATGAGACTATTTTGTTAGCAGTCAAGTTCTATAAATCAGACACGCTGTGTAAGATATGTATGTAAGCAGCAATCCAATCATATGCAACACAAATAATCAATAATCCTGCCAGGGACTTTTTGGCTAACTACTCCATATGGTAGAGAATGAAAAATGAGACCCTGGATATTGAATTCTGTGTGAATGATATTTAACTGAGCATTCAAAGCAGTCTCATATAAAATGCGTCAAGTCTGAGGTGTTAAGAACTCAAGCTTGTCACTCCTCTTGAGTCCTAATGTCTGTTTTAGAACTTCTAGGAGATGGCATTACTTATTACAAATCAGAAAACTGATGTAGCATATATGTTATGTGTTTCAGGTGATAACTTTGGACAGAAGTACTTAAGTCCCCAGGAAGTTATTAGCAAAAGAGGCTCAGATGTCATTATTGTGGGACGTGGCATCTTGTCTGCATCAAATCGTCCAGAGGAAGCAGAGATGTACAGGAAGGCAGCATGGGAGAGCTATTTAAGCAAACTTGCTGTTCATACACAAGACTAATTCGAGCCTAGGATTCCAGTGAACAACCTAACCCAATGCATTCTAAAAGAAGCTGGAGTAATTAGGAGGATGTTTCTCCCCATTGGTTAGGTTGTCATCTACTCTGAACTCAATTGAATATTTTGCTTTACATAAAATCTGCCAGTGACTAAGTTTTTTAGTAATGTGTAAAGGCTAAATCACATTAATTGTGACCATTGTTTCTTTGCATGTGAGACTGTGAAACCAAAAATCACCGCCCAACTTTAGTCTTACTTCTAACTGGTCCTCCAGTCTGTTACTTTGGAAAAAAATAAATGAAAACACTCCAGGTGGTACTTGCGGGTTATTACTGCCCTCTGGCATTTCCTTTAGGTATGGAAACAGTGCAGGTGGAGTTTTTTCAATACTGTACAACAAAGCTGACCATTCACTACATTGAATGGGACAACACAACTTGTAGGGAGCACAAACCAGTCTGAATCTGTTACTTAATAAACATTTGAATTGACTCTCCTTCAAATGTGAGTTTTTATATTCATAGTATTTTCCCTCTTTCGTAAATATCTTGGATTAAAAACTCAGGGTACGATAAACTTAAGCCTCTAACTTTCAATTACTGCCCCTTCCTGGTATTTGTAACTGCTGTTGTGACTGGTATGAATTATTGGTACCATGGTTCCTCTCCAAATTTGCTATGACAAAATTACAGCTGCAGCTATTAGTTAACCCAGGGTGAAACTGATTTGCAGTGAGGCTTGGTGGGTCTATTAATGAGAGGCAAAAGGACAAAGTCCTGAGGTTATACAACTGTTGAATTTCTAGTAGGCTGGTTATTTTTATGAAAAATCTTTAGTACTTTTCCATATTTTTTCACCGTTTGAGATTTTTAATTAAAGGATGTAAAAATATGTCTGATGGATGTTGATTAAAGAGATGGAGTCACCTTAAATTTGCACCAAAATGCACTTCAGAGTGAAACTAAATTGGATTTTCATTGTTCAGATCAAGGAAAGCAAGAGTATAAATAACTGGAATTCTGAGTTACTACTTTTAATAAGCTACATCATAAGAATTAAAGTATGTATATAACATAAATACCTTAAGCTGAGAGTCCCCCTTTCTCATTGAGCTGGACTTTTCTTAGCAAAGCTGAAGAGCTTCTATGGCCTGTCTCACCAGTGAAACTTGATCAATCCATCATCTCTTGTGCGAAGTATTAGCTGCATGGCTTTCACAATGAGTTCTTGATCTCCAGTTTATTGCTAAAGATAGTAATACTAAGGCTTTCTTTCTTTGTTTTGTTTTTTAAGAAGGTCATAGGACATTCTTAAATCTCTGCTGCCTGTCCTCCTGTTGTAAGTGGTAGCTAAGCTGAAAGAAACTTGCCTGAGGCATGGTCTCTTATACTTTACCCTTCTCTGCTAAAACTATTACCGTTTCCCCTTTCTTCCACCAGAGGGAGCTGTGACTCCCTTGGGCGCTTTTAGAAGCCACAGTACCATTTTAGCTAATAGATTTCATCATAAGCATGTATTGTTGCTGTTTCTCATCAGAAGCGGTCTGTTTTTCAACAAAAGTGTAATACTCTCACTGCACTGAAGCTGATCCCATGATTGAGAGTTGCAGGGATTTATGTGAATTATCTTGAGCACAATATTTGTCTTACGTGGTGATTCAGTCCTGCCTGATAGAACAGTCTCAGTCTCTGCTATTGCAGTGCAGGGCAATTAATGAATTTTGTGACCTCCATTGTTACCTAAGCCAGCCTATTATTTACTGGATGGGTCATAAAGACCTTGAACCAGCAGCTAAATCTCTGGCTTAAGCCCTCTGTTTACAACCAGTTAATTAGCTTTATCAAAAGGTGACATATCTCTGGAATCAAACAGTGGTGACTGTTGGAGAGAGTGATCCTAGTGTCCAATTTTTTTAGCAAGTCCCTGTGTCCCAGAGCATGGCACTATTTCTTTTTCGTTGAAACAAGTGAGGGTATTGATTTTTTTTTTATTTGCTCAGAATTGTTCACAGCCCTTCATTAATGAGCGGCATTCATTCTATTGTACAATTTATACTTCAGTGCTTCAGTTCACCCTGATGACGTCCAAAACATTTCACTTAGTAAACAAGACCAAATTATCGCTCCTGCCTGCACTGCCCCACATGGTCTTTTATAATCAGGACTGTTCCAGCAAACAAGCATGTGTGCCTCTAATCTGAGAGAACAATTGTTTTCTTTCAGGCACCTGAAATGGATGAAATCCACTTCAAATTAGGCATAATGTTAATTTCTTTTGCATGTCCCTGCTGTTTACATTCCACAAAGTGTAGTTCCCATGGTTGGTCAAAACTGCATTTGTAACATGGGAACTAGGTCACAATTTAAAAAACTCATTTGCATCATAATATATGAAGCTGATCAGGCCAGAGAATGAATTACAAAGACTTTGTCAGTCAGAGATGGAGGCAAATGACTACCGTAATCTTAATCTCTTTATAGTTTATGAAATCCATATCTATAGTGAAACTCCATTTATAGTGAAATAGAAGGGAAGTTCCATATTTTTCATTGTGAATTATAATAATGAATAATTGTTCTTAGCCCTTCATCATTGTACATTGCTACACCAGCACTAATGATGGCAACTAATACTTGGTTAGCTGCACATTGTTCAGCAATGGTACTTTCCCTGTATAACATGACATGCATTAAGTGTTATGCTTCTGATACAGACACTGAGTGGGTTTAGGCAAGATGAAATTTACTCCTAGTTCTATATTCAATGTCCTAGGAAATGAGCCAAGTAGCATTTCAAATGTGATTATATTCACTGATCCCCAATGACCATGTTCATTGGCATGAGTCTTACAGGAAGCAACACAAACATTGTTTGAGGTTAGGGAAGAGTTTGCACCAAAGGAATGTGAAATACCCTCAGGAGGGTTGTCTGGAATCTTGTTTTGGGAGGCCACTGACTCTGGGGATGTGGATTCCATTTTGGAAGGACTTGACCTGAAACTGTCTAGACTGTTTAATCAGTTTCAGAGACACAGTTGACTCTTGACATGGCTTGAGCCGCACCCACTGTGGTTAAGCTTTCTCAGGACCAGTGGTAAAACAGCTATCCTTGAAAGCAGCCTGCACTAGCCCTGGGTTTTCTTCTTCTAATGGTTTTCATACACATTACTGGAGTTGTGGCAGAACCCCAATTGTCTTATTGGTTTGCCACCTGATTGTGCATTACCTTATGTTCAACGCCCATCCCTCCAGCTGTGCTAGACCCATCTGGGGCAACAGAGCCAACTTGTCCCAGAAGGAAATGCTACCAACCCACGCTGGCGGTGTGGAGGATGGGAATGCATACACATGCTTAACCTACGGTTCAGTGTACGGAAAAAAACTGCTGTGTGAGTACAACTGTTTACAGCCATTGCAACAGAGGCAAGTGTCACAGCCTAGTTACCAGAACACAACAAACCAAAGTTTAAAAGTTAATGGTGACTCACAGTTACAAAGAAGGTGACAGGTTGGAGGTTGAGGATCAGATCAAGGAGCTTGGGGAGTCAATCAAATCTGGGTTTCTCACTGCTCAGGTCAGTGGGTTAGCTCTTTGTGGCCCATCTTTTGTACAGGTAGCACATGCCTCCTGGATCAGGCTCCGCAGGAGAGTTGGGCGTCACGCAGTAGAATGTTCCAACCAGGTAGGAGCTAGACTTCTGACAGCTCAGTAGTGGTGGGGGTGGTGGCAGGACTTAGGTGGCTTTGTGCAGGCTCACTAGGGCAACTGTAGGCGGGTACAGGATGAGGCAGCTAAGTGGTTTTGTAAATATCAGTGGAATTTAATATACATCTAGTGCCTCGGCCCTAATCCTCAGGCACCTAACTCCCCTTTCCTTGAAAAGCCCAATAGGCAGCTGAGTGAATCTTTAGGCTCCTTCTCACTTTGAGTCTCAGTTTCTCGTGTAAAATTGGGCAAATAGCTCTGCCCTAGCTCAAAGAAAAGTGATAAAGAAGGGGAGGTGCTCAGCTACGACAGTAATTATGTGTGTGGAGGGGGTGGAACCCCCACAGAAAAGCTATTTATTCGAAAGATGTGCCTTCTTCCTCAGTCCCACAGCCTTTGGGGTGGAGGGGGTGTCTCTCGTCCCTGCGTGAGGGTGGCTATTACAATATTGTTGAAGCTGTTATGTATTTAGATTTTTTGCACTCTACTGCTGTGATTAGCATCGACTGAATATACACACGGGGAGGTTTCACAGCCTTATCCAAAGCGTGCCATTGTTAGGAACATGAAAATGAATGAATGAAATGCAAGGTGATGGGTTTTCTGATTGCCCATAATGATGTAGACCAGAATCCACTTCAGAACATGAACACCCAAACCCCTCTCCCTTCCCACCCACCGCTCCCTCCCCTCCCTCACCTTCCCCCCCAAAAGCATCCCCTGGCTATGCTATGAGCTCCACAAACAGAAGATGGCTGTTGTAATGTCATGGTGGCTCCAATTTGGCCAGACCTGTACTGACATTTTTCCATCACGAGACCCTAAGTTATTTTCCTCCTTAGTTTTCATGCAGGAATGCGAGTTGTGGTCAGGCTGCGTAACCACAAACAGGCATTATGTATCATTCCCATGGCTTGACCCTGCACTCGCATATCAAAGGGATGGTTTTAATCACTAGTTAACTGTTTACTTTTATTCCCCTTTCTTTTAACTTGGAAATACTGTACTGGGCTCAGCTGTTGACTCCCATGGTATGTACATGCTAGTTCTGTAAAATGATCTAAGCAAAAGATGACTAACAGTGAGAGGGTGCGGGGCTGAGTAGGCCCAGTAGCAGGAGATCTTGCTCTCGCCAGCTGAGCTGGTAGGTGCACCAGGTCAGCTGCTTAGTTGCCGAAGCCCCTCTTCAGCATATCACTCCTCAGTAGCTGACCAGGGAGCTGCCTCTAAATGTGCTGGCTTCTGAGGATCTCGTTCTGACTCCCTCATGCATTGTACGGAGAGCCGAGCTGAGCTGGCGATTTTACCCAGCAGACCACACAGGAGGTTAAGTGGTCCAGTGTTGAGTGAAGAAATGCCTAAGCATGCATGCTTTGAGGAACTGGGCCGGAGCGATTAAATTAATGGGTTCAGGCCAAGAGGAAGGCTGTGGCAGAACCGAAAGCAGAGCCCTGGTCTCCTTGGTGCAAGCTGGATGGGTCAACCACAAGATCAGATTATTTTCCTCATATGTTAATAGAACTTTCATACCGTTCACTGAAGCAACCGAAGTGTCACTTCTGCCACCCTGAACTAAATGGAGCAGCGGTCGGGTGTAAGAGGTTTTGTGCTTGCTATAGCGAACATTAATCAAAGCTGCTGTGGGGAGCTGGCGGGCTGCAGAAAATAACCCCGCGAGCCACATGGTCTATCCTAACCCCAGAGGTTTATACTCTCACGAATATCCAAAAAGCACCACGGACTGCTCAGTGGTTTGAGCATTGGCCTGCTAAACCCAGGGTTGTGAGTTCA